ACTGTTTTAAACAGTACTAGACACCAATGGAATTCCAGTATGATTGGAATTAGCGGCGGAGCTGACTTGTTTGCCAGTGACTCGGTGCTTTAATTGTCAAATTCACAACATTAAATTCGGATGTGGTCATGAACGTAATACATGTAATACGGAAGGTTGATTAGACGTTCAATTATAGGTCTTTAAAGCATTTACCTCTTGGTTGAAATATTTGAATTTAGGTTACGTCTATCAGTTGAAGCCTTCATAGGCCCAGGTCCAATGTTGTATTTTTTAACGTTACCGGTATTGTTAATTGCGCTCGGGTACCGTACTACACTAACGATCACAATCGTTAATCATAGTAATAATAGGAATGAAATAATGTAATAATATATTTAAGAACAATTATTCACAAAAGAATAAATTAATTTAATGAGTATTTCTGGTAATAAATTAAACTGAAACAAAAATATTTGGTAATGTTCCAAGTGATTTGATAAAACGAAATTAAATGAAACGAATATATAAAACTGCTATACCATAACAAGATAAATGTATGATTACTTTGGATATGGTAGTCAGCAGTAATATAGCTATATTATTAAACTATCAATTATACGCCTAAAGGTAGACCTACCGATAGGCTTCCTGGCTCCTACGAAAGAAATTATAAATTAGCGCTTATGTGTTTCGTTTTTGTATTATGGAGCCCCACCGTAATAATATAATATGTTCACAAACTTCTTTTCGATAATAATTGTTGATATATATTATTTCCATATATGAAGCTATTTACACAGTTGAATGGGCACAAAAGGGGAAGTCTATTCGGAAGAAGACACTAAACATTAGAAATAAATAAATAGATCGAATCGTATATGCCTTGTAAAGGAAATAACGTAAACTTTACTGTGTATATACGGGTATCTGTTTGTTGACGGGTACCGGTACAGGATACTGCGGAATTTTGGAGTAGCGCAGATAGTCGAAACAAAAATTCCCTCATTGTTGTTCTGTCCGTTTTCCAATCACCCGCTTAAATTAGGCCTGACATCATAATTCTGTAAGTAGCGCCGTGTTTTCCGGTTTGCGTACAAAGGAGAGCTTTAACTTGATCTTAACCCACATCACTTAACGGTACACAACACACTTGAGATCGCACCACGGCAACCCACAATCTACGTCTACTTCGAGTTGAGGAAATATATTCTGCTGTAAGCCTATCCTAAGCGTATTCTACAATCAGCTTGGAAGACCCATTTTCTGTTTCTCATCTGGTGGCCTAGCGTGAGTCGCGTTTTTTTGTTGTTGTTATTTGTTGTCTAAACAAAATAAATGCCTACCTATTACCTATTGTAAGACAGTAGGCCTATTGATTATACAAATCATAATTGCGAAAATGTCTAGATCTAAACTAGATACCGGTATACTGTCGGTGTAGTTTGATAGTAGGCTATCGGTCGACGGGCTATTGAAAACAGGAACAACTTGAATATTGAGTTGTTTTCTTTTGTAAGATATTCATCATAAAGGCCAACACACATTAATTTCGCTTTGTTTAGAATGCGGAAAGTTGGCATAGAAAACGATAACGCCGTGATGGACGAGCTGCGTATCAGGGACACGGCAGTCGGTTATTTAATTAGGAAAGGAATGTGCATTAATATTTTTGATTTTCGGCTCGATAGGCGACGATTGTCGGTGACATTTAGTTCAGTCAAAACGTGAGAACGATTTGACCATAATAATCCGACTGCGATTTCTACTGTCACATGTCATTTTGTAGGATAAATGCAAACTGTTTTGTTCGCAGCGGTTCGACACCATCTTCACAGAGTGAAGTTCTAACCTACGATATATCACGTGTTCGGACATCGTCTGTTAAGATGCTAATTTCTTGAGGTTAAACTCACTACATGAATATTTATATTTTGTCTAGGAGGTCATAATATAATATAAGATATTCTCCTTTAGTGATGCCCTATCCTAACGAATTTGGAAATGATAATAATGCAATCAATTTTAACTTTCAGCAGGTCAAAGTCCAATTCTTGCTCAAACAGAAGTAGTATAAGCCTTTACCACCCGCGAGAGACAAGGGCCTACGCTGATTTAATCCACACAGTGATAAATTTGCTTTACTATCAGAGCAAGAGAACCCCACTAGGCCTACCCTCAACTATTGGGCCAGGTGTTTTGACAAAACTAGGCCTATGTGTACCCGCTGATTACAAAAGATTCTAAGAAGTCCGCTTGACCTAGAAATGGACATCCGGGATTTATACAGCGTGCGTAGTAATTCATTTAGATGATCCTAAAATGTGACTCAAAACTGTTTCTTTTATGCATAGGCCTTTGCATTTTTACAAAAAAAATGTTCGCAGTACACCACTCGCCAACTTTCTATAGTAGTGTTGATGGCTAAAGATGTGTATCCATCTCCGTCCAACTGTCGCCAATAAAATGTTTTCATTGGAAGTTTGTGATGGACAGATAATCATTATTTCCAAGGCCATTCTATATTTTTAAAGTACTGATATAAAAAAAAATCTTCGTTAACAAATATCGGTCTACATTGTCTACCAAACGAAGAGACATCATTACCGAAATTGAATCGAATGTTTTTATTGCATCGAATTGTCGAAAACGAAACAGATGTCAAAGTGACACAATAGCTAGCAACTATAAACAAAAGTTTATGCAGAATTCTTTTAAATTAAAAAAAAAATGTTTTTTGTTGGGGTTGACGTCACAAATACTTCGTTTAACCACCTTCATCCATTCTCTGCGTGCTGAAGTGAAACATCTCGAACTCCCCATCTCTCGATTGGCTGCAATATAGCGCTTACTAAGCCTTATTTGCATGCGTTCGCTGACCGTCACAATTATGTTGTACTAGTGCTGCACACGTAGCAACTATATTTATTTGTAAATCGACAGGCCTACGAAACGTCCCGAACCCTGTCTCGACATCGGTGTTCGCGGTCGCACTTTGTTCTTTAGTTTACATTCAATAAAACAATAATTTCCTGTCCTTAATTCACTCACTTGACACGTTTGAGTAACTCTTCGTCGGATATATGATTCATAACGCGAACTTGGCAACACCCTTCTCCGAGAAAAAAGACAACCCTCTCTTAGTTTAGAGTAATTTTGACTTATTCACGCCCTCTTCACAAAACGTACGTAAAAAACTGGTAATCTATTGCGCCCTCTGACGGTGAAAACATTTTAGTTTCATTTTGAGACTGAGCGCGCGCAATTTCAGAGATAATAAAATTTACGAAGTTGTTGAGTAGGTTTGGATTTGAATAGTAAACCTTTGTACTGCTATTCTTTGTTGGCCTGACTGGAGCTGTGGCCTGTGTTCTACATAAACCATACACTACTGCTTTAAGTCAATTTATGTATCCGAGTCCATCTAAATTACGATCTCAATTGGAATAGGCCTACTCATCGATTTCAAGGCAAATTCGTTTTGAGTCGATCACGTCATCAAAAACGATAAAATTATAGCGCACAGCTTTTTGTTGTGATACATTGATAAAATATGTTTTTTATATCGATTAAACAATAAGGCTATTAAGGGTCAGTTTAAAGTTAGTTCACAGTTGTCTTTGGTACACCGGGCCCGTTGCATAAAAACCCAGCAAACACAAAACCTTTGATAAAATAATTCGCGTACATTGTGATTCAGAAGTAAACGCATACGTTGCAAATAACGTTTTCAATTGGGTATTTAGTCAGAAATTACGTTATAGGCTATAAGTAGGCCTAGTATCTATGGTTAAACTAAAAACAAAAACAAACAAAGCGTTTTGAGCACAGCACTGAAACGTTATTTTTATAACCTATTAGCATTATAGTTTAACCTATTCATTAGCAATTATAATGTCAGTAAGAAAATTCTTGTATATTTTCAATTTCTTAATTAAACAAACTGCAGTAAAATTATCGATGAATAAAATGATAAATTAATAATGATAATTTCTCGTCTTGTGATGAAGGGACGATACCGGCCGTAAGTTACAGCGACAGTAGGATGATGGATGGCCACACTTACAAACGGATTAAAGCATCGTTTTAAAGTTTAAAAGCACGGTCGACGATTAGGCCTAATGATTTAGCAAGAAAAGGCGCAATGACCAGCCCAAAGAAAGAGAACTAGTCATCATTTTGAATCAACGCCTATAGGCGCAAACGAGCAGGTTTTAGCACTATCGGATGTGTTTATAAATTATATTGCGGTCGTGGGAAATTAGATGCTATCGAAAATTGTGAATAGTGATTTATAAAGGGTGCCAAAGGGGTTGTGGAAGGAACACAGAATCGCAGATACACAAATATTGGTACTGATTCTCTAGCTCGTTTGAATTACTTTGCGAAAACGTTTGGATGAGTGTACCACGGCCTACGGTTAAAAATCGATCTCTTGGGAGACAGATAGGCTGCTGATTTTTAGAGCACACGACACTCACGCGTACCAGTGTGATTGCGAAGGGTCATCTTGCTAGGCTTCTTCACTTACGCACTAATTATTCATCGAGGGGTGTGTGACGACGAAGCAGCCTGCGCGTGGTTGGCAAATCTTATGATACCAGCATGCTAAGCATCCACATATGAAAGGTAGGGCTGTGTTCACAGAGTACTCCAAAAGGATGCATCCGGATGTTTTTTGCTGAAAATCGAAATTTATACCATTGCGCGCCTAAACTGTAACATAAAATAAACCAATTCGATTGTCAACACAATGATTTATAATGTTAAAATGATTAGGCTAGTACTAGCATTAGTAGGCCTATGAAATACAACAATACAATGTGATTTTCAAATGACAAACTTTTTGAAATAAAAGGTGTTACATACATATACTGTATAATAAAATTAATATTATTATCACTATATATTTAATATTACTTACCTTTCTTAACTACCTTGTACATAGGCATATAGGCCTATCTATATATCCACATATATAAATATAATAAATATTTATGCTTTTTATGTCTTTAATTTAGGACGACACATCATTATCAAGCGTTGATACAGAAATCAGCGACCCCAGTTTAACCTCTGATCCGACCCTCACTCCAGGCGAGGCCAGTTTGACACCAGCAGAGGCGAGAAGTCTGAGTCCCCATCAACCCCTAGCATTGGATCATCATATCAAAAAAGGTAAGATTCTCGTTCTGAATTTTCAATTTTTTGATTAGGCCTACTTAGGTATAGGCCTTGCTTCTTTCTATTCTAGTCGTTTTGCAGTACCATGTGGTATGTTTATTTGTAGCCCCTCTCTAGGGCAAGGGCCTAGGCCTATACCTAGGGAATTAATTGTGTGGTGGGTGAGCCGGGTGGGTGGAGCTGTGTTGCTAGGGACCAGGCATAAAATAGGCTTGCCGACACCAGCCCAAGGGATTTTAATATTTATACATCTTGGCCAGCCAGAATCTGCTGGGACCGAATACACTATCGATTATACTGTTTTCTCGGTGATAAAAATTCGTCGCATATCATTATCACACATCTTTTGAAGTTTTTTCAATGGTCAACATTGGATGAACTAGGGCCTAGGGGCCTAGGCTAGTTAGTAGGTAGGCTAGGCCTAATGCAGGGGTGGAACCATCATATGCAATGGGGAGAAGAAAAAAATCGTACTGTCTGTAGGCCTACAGTAGGCCTAGGCCTACATAGTCTGACTCTGAAATTGATCAAATAAAAGAAGTTAGAAGTTTTTGATTGACGACCGAACACGCCCACTTACGCTCTCGTCGGAAGCATCTTCCCCCCCCCCCCCACTTTTTCGGGGACATAAACTTTAATTAGGACACTATCACATTCAAATCACAACAATATGTAAAAAAATATCAATTGAATGTATGTTGTTCTTATTGTTTTATTAGTGTTTAGAACTATAGAATATGGTACTAGAATTATGGACAAAGTTCTTTTATTTAAAAAAAAAAATTAATTTCCTGCAGTTATTTTTGTTAAGTTTTTCACAAAAAAAAATATGCAGACTAACAGGCTCTTTAATTAAATACTGTTTGGAAATATAACTGATTTTTTTTTGTCTGTCAAAGAAGATTTAAAGTCATCAAAGCCAAGCAGTGGGCAAGCTACGCCAACTCTTGAAGAAAGCCGCTCTCCGATGCCTACTGATCCTCAAGTTGCCTTGATTGAAGCCCGTCGAGATATGAAAAGGGCATCATCACCGCACAATGTGGAGAGGTATACCTCACATGCTCAAAATATGGAATACAAAGGATATGTAGACAGCTATGCACCATCAATAAGATTTGGGGTGAGTAAGCAGGGGCTTAGCTGGTTTCAGCCTTTGTGGCGGCAGGGAGGGTGCAAAACAGCCTGGAGGGTGTGAAAATGAAGAATGCAGAACTAAATTCCTATTCCAATGAAAACTTAATGGTGATTTTAGTATTTTAACCCTTGTTGCCAATGAGGTAGGTGGGGGAGGGTGGAGGAGGTGTGCATCTTCACCCCCAGTCTGTACCCATAGTAAAGGTGGGGGAATTAGGGAGACTAAATCTAGGCTAGGGGTGATGGATTAGCTATAACAAACAGTGGGGATTTGGGCATGTGTAAATAAAACTAAGATTAAATTGGAGTGACTACTATATAGATTATATCTAGGGTGGGAGGCTATGGTTACTATAATCTAGGTTGGAATCTACATTTTTAATTTATAAATAAAATGTTCAAATTGTTTACAAAATGGAAATCAATTCTGCTCTATAATTTCTGTTACTATCAGCAAGCACCCGCAAATGGCCACTTTCCATACGGATTAAACCCACCACAGCAGGAACGAGCCCATGAAGCACCAGAGGATCTCACAGTAACAAAGGATGAAGACGAAGACGATGATGGAGACGACGATAGCGACAAACTAAATGAATCCACACCAGGAGTAGATCCTGAGAGGCTTAAAGCTTTTAATGTAAGTCATTTAATCAGTAAACCATCAATCAATCAATCATTCAATAAATACATCAGTCAATATGCTAATGTGATAGATTAGTACACCACCAATACATCAATCAAAATAATACATCTTTCCAAATTAACAATCAACGCATCAATCAGTCAATAGATCGATCAATCGATCCATTAATCAATACATCAGTAAATCGAAAAGATGGTTATCAATTAACAAATAACACAGCAATCAATCAACACATCAATCAATCAATCAACACATCGATCAATCAATACATCAAACTGTCAATTAACACATCAATCATCACATCAATCAATTTATCAATCAATCAACACACCAATCAATCAACACATCAATCAGTCAATACATCAATCAATCAATACACCAGTCAATCAGTACATCGATCAATCAACACAACTGTCAGTCAACACATCAAATAACCAATCAACACATCAATCGATCAACACAACAATCAAGCAATCAACACATCAATCAATCAATCAATCAATCAGCACATCAATAAATCAATCAATACATCAACACATCAATCAACACATCAAAAAAATCAGTCAATCAACACACCAATCAATTCATTGATCAATCAATAAATAAATCAATCAACACATCAATCAATCAACACACCAATTAGTCAATAAATACATCAATCAATCAAACCCAAAATAGATAAAACAGTCATTATAACATTCAGTTAGTCAGCTAATCAGTCATTTAATTTATTGTCAATCAAAAATCCATTCAATTGAACAACTAATCAGTTATTCAATATATCAATCAATCAATCTCTAAATTGATAAATAAATATTTCAATGAAAACAATAATCTATAAACCAAGCAATAAATCAATAAAACATCAATCGATCAATCAACCAACCAATACATTGACCAATCAATCAACCAGTTCATATGTCAATCAATTAATCAATACATCAGTCTATTAACACATAAAGTCAATCAACATATTGGCCTAATATCTATTACCCTCTACCTTTATTAAGCCTCATCAAAATTGTAAACCTCTTTCAATATCAATAACACACAAAATTATAAACAGGCATGTTTGTTTTTATTAAAACAATGCTAATTCAACAATTAACTGGCCAAAATTTATAACACAAATCTCATGAGTACATTACATACAAAATATGTTTGAATATGTCATGAAACAGATTTAGTATAAAAAAAAAGATGAATGAGTTACAAAAATAATTTTTAATTCTAAAATCTATATTGAAAAGATTAATGTTGAGAATTTTGTGCATTGCCAGCCATTTTCTTTTGTTTTTGACATGTGATCTGCCAATTACATTACCATTCTTTGCAATAAGTATTCATGCTTTTTGCATATAGGTGATTAATTTTTAATTAGAATGTGGCGAACACACAATCAATGGTTGTTCTCAATTTGTAGGCCTCAGAATTCTCTAAATTGTTAGCTGCGTTTAACAAAACTCTAGGCCCAGACTTTCTCTCTGTGTAGGCCTAACCTAACCTGTAATCATAGTATCTGAATTTTTCTTCTGAAAGACAAAGCCGGGATCGAGGCTATGGTCTGATAATTTAATTGCGGGCTGGTTGAATGGTGCTTCATTATGCCTGCATTGATGCGGTGTAAGGGTCAATCGCCGCAATCAACACTTCGATATAACGAGGAGGCTTAATGGCTCTGCTTTATAGTGTCTGTCCCTGAATAAGAAAATTGCAGCCTCTTTATTGTATTTCTCAATTTATAGATATTTCCATTCATAGTTTAATAATTTAGTGAATCATTCACTAGTTAACTACTCGACTAAATAATCTATACTAATTAATTTGTTCATTATTTATGTTCTAGATTGTGATTTGTGTTTTGTGTAATCTCTCTTTTGGTTTATTTTTCCAATTGATGTTATACTGGTTACTTGTGATATTGATAGTCATTGATATATTAATTAATTTTAGTTAATTACTTTAGCTGAATTATTAAATTTATTTATTTTTTGGTTTGATAATATGAAATGTTATGCTTCAGTTATTTTTCTCCTTCTAGATGTTCGTACGTCTCTTTGTTGATGAAAATCTGTGAAGTTAATACATATTCTACATAATCTCTCTTGGTTTATTTTTCTAATTGACGTTATACTGGTTACTTGTGATATTGATAGTCATTAATATATTAATTAATTTTAATTAATTACCTTAATTGAATAATTAAATTCATTTATTTTTTGGTTTGATAATATGAAATGTTACGCTTCAGTTACTTTTCTCCTTCCAGATGTTCGTACGTCTCTTTGTTGATGAAAATCTTGACCGAATGGTTCCAATCTCGAAGCAACCAAAAGACAAAGTGCAAGCTATTTTGGAGGCATGCTACCGCCAGTTTCCAGAGTTCCACGAAAGGGCTAGGAAAAGGATAAGAACATATTTGAAGTCGTGTAGACGGATGAAGAGACAGAGAGACGCAAATGGTTTAGATTCGGTAAGTAGGCCTACGCAACTTGCTTGATAATATTAATAATATACAACATCAATGACAAGGCCTGTCTGTATGTGTTTCACATAATAACCCTAGTCATGGGATTGAACCCTTATAGAACACTGGTGAAAATATTCAGATACTCCCTAATCAGTGCTACCAGGTATCCAAAATACTTGTGGGTGGAGAGGCAACTGTAGTTATTTTGCCTTGCACAACAGGGCTTCTTTCCCTCAATCCTCTTTCTTATGGAGTTGATCAAAAATGATAAATTACTAAGGTTATTATTAGTGTTTCATAAAAAAATGTTGTACTGTAACTGTCTCTTATACACATCTAGATGTGTATAAGAGACAGCAATAGGCCTGCTGCTCAGGCATTACTGTTAGACCCTTGTACGACCAGGTCTACCTACTAATCTACTAAATACCATCATGCATTTCTGCACCTTTGGCCTGACCTAGGAATCAACAGTCCATCCTGCAAGCTGAGTCACGTTTGAACACACCTTTACATGCTGTAGCCTGGGGTTGTGGCCATTTTATAAATTTAAACCAAATTTTGCTGTCTGTGGACTTGTTTCTGAATTATGGTTGACTGATTGATAACAAGCTCTAAGAGGAGTTTTAAAATTCATTAACTGTAATCAAAGGAAAAATATCGCCAATTGGTTGTACTACGCACCGTTAACGAGGAGATTTAATTAGGAAAAGACTACAAGTTTGATTAGAGGAATTAGTCAAAGGGTAACACCCTTAAATGATATGTATTCAATTTGAGGAAAAGGCAGCCTCTTCGATACTGTTTATTGGTTGATAGTTATCTCTTCAGAGAAACATGTAACAACTGATTTTTACAGGGAGTGTTTAACATAATCATCCTTCTGACTATTAACATGCAAAAATTCTGTCATATCCCAGTATGTGATTGACTACACTTACATTGATATAAATCACTAAATAAATAATAATAATAATAATTTGGATTTGAAAAATAATGACTAAAGAATGTCATCTGTGTGACATTTTGATTTCATCATTTTGGTATTACGTCCTCATTCATCCATCAACATCCTTGAAAACATAAACATGCTGTCCTTTTCGTCGTAACGATTGGCTGATCATGATGTATTTGATTTTCACGCACTGATTTATGTACTCTTTGTCTGGCAATGACATAAACACGTGGAATCACCAGTTTTACATATGAGATAGTAACTTTCTGTGATGTGCACGCCGGTCATAATGATATCATCACGCCCATATATGGAAAATTTACCGGTATTTGTCACATACAGTTTGATAGTGTGAAGTGTGACAATCAAAGAACAAACAAGGGACAAACAAGGACAAATTTCCAAAAAATAGATAAATACGCTTTATGATTAATAGACACGAGATACCATTCAATGGTTAACTCATCTTTTTTGATGACATGTCAGAAATTTTATACTTTATATTTTTTAAATTTTAATAAAAAATCAGACAGTTTGTTATCTTCTTTTGGAACCTGCGGACTTTTGAGGCTTAAAGTCTCTTAAATCATTTCCCCCTCCGCTGACTCATTTGTTTGATTCTTTTCCCCAATGTTTTTTTTTTTTTAAATCTTTGACTGGTGCTAAGCTAGGCTAAGCAAACAGAGCTTGTCATTTGACCTGCACTGGGTTTACTCCAAAACACAAGGCCTTTATTTAGGGGGTACTAATACGTAAAAGATGACGACAAGCATAAACGTGGTGTTACTCACTGTAGCTACTGAAAATTAACCTGGGATTTTGTCTAGTGGGTGTGTCTACATATGGATATCAATGTTGACAATGCTATAGTATATTTGTAACAATATCAACTATCCTATCAACAAAAATATCAATATTTCACAGAAAAAAAATCAGGATTTGAAGATAAACAACAACAATATCAATACCAATCAATATCAATCAATACCAACATCAATACCAATATCAGAGAAAAAAATCAAGATATGAAGATAAACGTTAACAAATATACAAGGTATACAATAAAATAACAATGAGATTAAAAGTTGCCAGTGACTGGAAAAGGCCAACAGGTAAACCATTGCACCTCTAATAGCGGCCGATCCCGAATTGCATAGATAACAAGATATAAAATCAAGTATAAAATATTAAAATGTAACATTTATAAAAAGAAGCACACATTCTAGCTGATACGATATTGCCATTTATACAGCAAAATGTTGTGTTGTTTTTTTTTGTTGTAAATGATGACTTATTTGTGATTTAATATTTATTTTTATTTGGCAAATTATTTCCGCTCTTTAATTCATGATGCTGGTAAAAAGGATAACACCTGCTGTTCATTAGTCATCACCAAACCTATGCTACTGTTACAATTCATCATAAAACAAAAATTAAAGATTCATTTTATAAGTAGTGATAGCAGTCAGTGTTTATGGGGTTTCATATTCTGACATTCAGGAACGCTTTTCTTCTTTCCCTCAATCCTCTTTCTTATGGAGTTGATCAAAAATGATAAATTACTAAGGTTATTATTAGTGTTTCATAAAAAAATGTTGTACTGTAAGGTTTTCGTATGGTCAATGACCTTTGAAGTAATGTTATTAGGTGGACGTGATTCCTAAGGAATTGTTTTTAACTGCATTGCACCAAAAAATTCCCCCCTGGATTTCATGAGCAATCTAAACCATGGGCATTAAAAAAAGTGTCCTTCATTCTGTAAGTCCATTTTCAGTACAAACCATTGTAGTGGGGTTTGATGGGCTTTCCCCTCCCCCTTCCCCAATTAATATTCAAGTTGTGACAATATTAAACCTGGAGGGATGTGACATTCAAGGAAGAATTTAGGGAAAAAACTGATTCGTAAGAATAGATTAAACAGGATTTTTTTTTTATTTCTGGAAAATGTTATTTTTTAGGGAAATATTATATTACACTGGCTTCGCTTTGGAATAACCGCAGGTTGGGTATCCTAGGCGATAGTCTATCTTATGACGGTAGTCTATCTTTTGCCGTATTCAGCATCACGGATACCATAAAAGGATTTACAAAAAAAAAAACAAACAAAGGAAGACCTGTATTGCAGTCTCATTAAAAAAACTCAATGTAATCCAATGGAGCCCAATAGGATGTGACAAAACCTACAGATTCCTGGGTTTCTTACAATAGAGTTCTTATGAGCACTTATCGAAAAGGAAACATAAATAAAATCTCATAGCATGTATTTGAAATATAACTGTCATCTAGTCACCGCAATTGTTTAAATTTTTAAATTGGTATTATGGTAATGGAAGGCATAATGATAGTATATTTGTAAAGTGGCTTCCAAGATAGGATCCTCTGAAGGTGCTGAGAGTATTCAGACCACAAATCATTGAAAAACAGGGAAAAAAAATATGATAAAATAAAAAAAGTATAATAAAATAAACAAGCCCTTCAAAAAATGAAGTGAGACAGCAGCCATCATGTAAGTTGTCTCTACACAGTAATGTACATTTTAAGCATTAGCACACACATGGGCCATCGGCTGACGCAATTCTGTAAGAGAATGCAACACAACGACATGTTGCACGACGAATAAAACCATGATTTGCTCTGACTAACATTGACTCGCCGGTCAACAGACTGGCGTTGCCGAAAGGACCCATACAAAGCGCGAAGGAATTAGTTGCATGGTTGGTCAGGTAACATAGGGGGTGCTAGGATTTATGTCTAGGACTGTTTATTCATCCTTACATTCATAGTATTACCCCAGATAATAATTCCAATCATATATATACACTTTTTTTTTATTTTTATAAGAACACATTTTATAAGAACACTGAGGCTGAAATTGCTTTAAAATTAAGAACAAAATAAGAACAAATTGAGGCTGAGGTAAAATAACAAATGAGGTTTTTGAAAAACCAAAAAATTATAGGCCTATCTGTATCTTATGTGCAGTAATGTAGGTGTGACTATGTAATACCCCCTATAATCAGGTGTACTCTCATTTGGGGCAATAAAAAAGAAAAAGTGTAATACATAATGAGAAAGCCCTGACACATATCAAAACAAAAAAAATGTACCTAACACAATAATAATTACTGTATTTTCTCGTTTTTAACTAATATTTACCTTCACAACCAAGATCATTATTTCCTACAGCATTATTTTTTAGTATTTATTTATATATTTATTTTCATATTTTTAAAAAATTGTTTAATCTATAATATTACTGTAATAGATACACATACAGATTTCCAATCTGATTTCCAATCATACTGTAGTATTAACAATATTATTATATTAAAAAGTAGGTCAGATAAAAACTGCAAGGCCCATAAATGGTGGTAGACCACAGGTAGGACCTTGAGGGGTATAATCTCAGGTAAGGTACTGTAAGGTCATTCGGAGGTCATTCTGTGGTTACCTAAGGTTAATGGAGGTATTTAATAGCTCCTTAAAGTGACACTGATAAATTCCAATAAATAAAATAAATCCAATTAATTTAACTGTCAGTTGAATTACTTTCTTCACTACCAATGTTATGACATTTTAAATAGCCAATCACATCTCACCTTTTCAATTAACATTTTTTTCATGTAACTCTTTATTTTTGTTTCTTATTCAATCATTCATTCTAAGTGCTGCTATTTACAACATCTTATCCAAATAAAAGTTGACGTTGAATGACCACTTTAAAAAAAAAAACTTTCCAGCCAGTTAATTCAAGATTAATTTAAAAGATTAATGCAATAAACTATATAATAATTGAAATGTTAATCTATTTCAAGAGTAGTAAAATATAATCACCGTCTTCACCATAATAAACCTACTCACAATTAACATAAATGTCTCAAATGACATTCTTTATGCTGTGTTACATATTCGGGAGAGACGCTTATGCAAAAGCGGTGCTTATTATAAATTGTAGTAGCTTTACTAGGGCTTTACCTTTTTTGAGAACCTTGTTGTTTATAAGTTCCTGATGATAATACTAAACATCAAAGCACATAAATGTACTCTTGACTTATTTTATGTAGCATAATACTTCCAGTGCATATGATGGCCTGTGCTTAGCAGGAAAATATTAGGTTTGGTGAGCACTTACACTTATTTCGAGAATGATCCTAAATTAATATTCACAACACTTATTTTCGGGGAGTGCCAACAACGAAGTGGATCTGATATCTGCTTTCATGGGAGGACTGATAGTAACCGTCCTGTACTATCTTTCTGTTCCTCGTGTCTGTTGGATTTATATGCACTGGGATATTAGGGCAGTACCAAGATTCCCGAACAAATCAAGCATTATTTTCTCTCATTTTCCCTTGCCCCCTCATTCCTAATCTATATTTTCACACATGTATTTGTTTAGAATGGTGTTATGTTCTAATCCCAGTAATGTTTATCCTCTTAAAAGTGAGACCCTCTTTACGTTTTGGCCCCTAAGGAAATTGACAATTTAGATTGTTAAAATCTGCAGGGACTGGGTGCACCAATAGACCTTATGTTTCTGAGCGTGTTTAATCCAGTTATGTTTGTATCAAACCTTCTCATAAATTACTGGAAGCTTGTTCTCAAATAAAAACAAATAAAAATCATCTTTCTGGTCATTAAGATCCAAGATACAAAGTAGAACAAAAAATATTGACATAACGGTGAGGGCAGTGTAACATTATAGTATGATGATCTTTTACCAACAATTGTTCTGTTTTTTTACCGAAATTAAAGGAAAATTTCCCTAATATTTTATGTGAAGTTGTCTCTTGATAACACATTATAAATTAGGAAAATTCTAAATGTTGAATAAATATAGCATATGAATAAATTAAACTATTTAAGAAAATCATGAAAATATAATGCGAAACAAAACGAATAAATATTTAATGAGGGAAAGAACTATAGTTTAATCTTTATTCCTCATAATGTAAGAATACTTAAAAAAAAACTTATAATTACATAAATTAATGAAAACTCAGGTCTCCTTCCAATTAAAAACCTTGTTTTGGTCCATGGTTTTCCATGTCATTAGTGGCTTTGATATCTAATTATCAAATAGATAAAAGATAGAGGTTTATTTGGGGCTGCAGAAATGTAGTCTTGGTGGTAAGCCTCTAATTAGATCGGTATTTTTTTTATTTGAAGGGAGACCTGTAGTCTTCATATTTTAAAAATCAGTTTAGTTTTCTATTATAGACCATAGATTTTGTTGATTTTGTCTGAAAATTCAACTTGCGACTCACCTTTAAATGCGTAATGCATTTGCCTAATGGACGAAAATATTGAATTATGGTAATATTTTATATCTTTAAAAGAAGAAAAGGAAAAAAGAAATTATTAAAATTGACAGAATATTAATTGAAATCTAAAATTAATAAAGGCGATAAGTAGTAGTATTAATAGGCCTAGTTACATTAATATTTATGAGATATTTCAAATTATGTAGAATATTAAGACCAAAATATTATTGAATTGAATAATAGGCCTATTATATACTACAAAATGCTAAATGAATATATTAAAACAAAACAATATGATTCCATTTAAAAATAATTATAAATTTATAATTAATGCAACCTCTGCATTGTTTTGTTCACTGCATTATGTGTTATGAGAGGAGAACAATTTTAAAATAAATATTTAATGTCCAAACATTTAATAAGCCTATATTTAAACAGTCATTAGAATATTGTGTTATTGTTATTATTGCCTGTATATTAATATTATTGCAGTTGTTAGAAAATTATTTTATGATTTTATAATTCTTGGTATATTTATCAAACAAAAAAAAATGTCATCGCAGGTAAAAAGTAAAATAATATAACTGAATTTGGACATTAATTTACAACAAGATCTCATTTATTACAAATTCAAACAAACCACTTATGAAAATTTCTAACATCGTAATATAGTTAAAAACTACCACTTCTGCAATATAATATCAAAATACATTAAAAATGTTTACTAAAAAATACATTAAAATCTATTACCAAAAAAATACATTAAAATTGTTACTATAATATATATTTGAAAATTCTTCACAATTTAAGATCTCATTTAAATAATAATAATAATAATAATATAATAGTAATAAAAATAATAATAATATTACTTACAATATAATTAAAAATAACTAATCCAAGGATAAGATGATTGGAGCACAAAATCATCAAAAAGATGCAAAGTCATAAAAAAAAATGTAGAGTGAGGGATGTGTCAAACTGTCAGTCATTTTGTGTAAAGACGACCACAACAGAATTTTTGTACTCTAGCCATACGATCACTTCCTGTCTAGTTGGCTGTAACTATCTAGAGGGCTTCTAATTGAAACCTCAAGGTCAACTGATTATTTAGAATCATGTTTTTCACCTCAAATTATATTTCATATTCATAAATCTAATTCAGACGTACAACGTTTACGGCCATCGAGGCAAGCTTTTTCCTTGAATCTTGCTTCTTTTGTTCTGGACATAGAAAGTCAGCAGGTGTTAGCTGCGTAGCCGAAGATCTCAACTAAAATTGAAAAGGTAGTTAAGTTAGATTTTCTATTATTGCTGATTCCTCGATATTATTTTCTCTCAACGGTTTGTTGGTGGTTGGCTTGGCTGATGATTATGTCGAGGTCCTTTGTCTCGCATGTGGCTAGCTGTAACAAAGCAGCTATTGCTTGACCTGTGTTACATGCAAACTAATTTCAGTCAAGTTCCTTGGATCAATGCTATATATATAGCAATGAAGACGAGATTGGAAATAATTGTGGTTATGTTCAACGGTAGACATTGCTGAACTGATTTTTTTCCCATTGGCTGCCGATACCTGGCATACTTGTGATTTATTCCATATTTTAAGGATTTTTGGAGGTAAATCAGAATTTTAGCACATAATTTAGCATAACTGAGTTTCTTAGTATAAGAATCCATTCTTATGAAACAAATTTCAATGTAGTTTTTTTTTTAAGGTGTATATTTTGACTTGCATTTGATGTCTGTAAATTCTATGAAATGAAATGAGTTTTTTTTTTAATCATGTACTTATTTTAGGAAAGTCATATTTTTGTACTGTACTCAGAATTTTATCAAATATTGTATTATTGTGAACTCGGACACGGATTTAACCTAGAAAATGTTTAAATGTCACTTCTGCCAGCAAAATGAAATGTACCATTTTAATATCACTTTTAGATAAAGCTATTAATAAAGATTGCATACAACCTAATGTACATATTGTAATACCATTGCATATTTTTACAGTGAAAGATGAGAAAATGTCATTAGGAATTTTATCTTATTCCTTTCTAAATTTTTATAAAAAAATTACATTAAATTTCATAAATAATTATAAGTGATTAATACAAAATGATAGATAGCAAGTTGTTGGTTTAGAGCTAAAAAAATGTATTGACTTAAACAACACCAAAATTGATTAAAATTAAAGTCAATAAATTATAGAATAATAATCCCAATGACACATAGATGGACAGTTTCATCCTGTGACAATTATTTGTCTCTTTTTTGTGACAATTATTTGTCCCTTCAGGTTTTTTTTTTTTTTGTGAAATCCCTTCATGTTTTTTTTTTATGTAATTCTTGTTTTCTTTCTTTGAATTGATTAATATTTGTGTTTTATAAGGAGTGAATACCGTACATGCAAATAAAAAAAAAACTACTCAAATATAATCATTGAGAGACATTGGATAAATTTCAAATGCTCAATATTATTTATTACATTTTGATACAAAATGAGGCATGTTGTGGCAAAATGGCTAAGTTGTAGCAAAATTTGAAATTCAAGTTATTGGTATTTTCATATACCTGAGTATGTTATCTTTAAAATGAGGGGTCATTCATTGAAATTGGACTTTTCAAGCCTAAGTTATTGAAAAGTGAAAATACGGCACTCTTAGAGTCAAGATAAACATGATTTTGAGTAATTGCCTTCCAAAGTTATGTGTTCATACATTGTTTAATAGAATTAACTATCTAAAGACATTAAATAAACAATTTGTTGACCATTTCCAGAACTAATACTTTGGGACATGATTAATAAGACATTAATCTGTTGATCTATAGTGAAAAAAAAATTTGGATTTTTAGGCAATTTTTTGAGCTCCCATATTTTATAGCTCATTTACTCAAAACTAGCCTGTGCGACAACTTAACCATTTCGCCACGACATGCCTCAAATTAAAGGAAAAAAAATGTGTTTGGACACCGCTGTGCTAAATTTCCTTCCCCACTTTCTAGGTACATCTCTCTCAATCACAAATGGGTACCTTGTGAGGGTGAATTATTTGAGATTGAAATAGAAGTTGGTCATTTTATTGAATTATGTGCTATTGGCATATTGCATAGTGAACAGCGAACATAAACAACAATGATGATGATAATGAGTATGGTATCTTTAAGTAATATTTTGGGAATCCATAGATGCCTACAACTGTAGCAGGAGGTGTATACAGCTCTTTACAATGTCAAAGATGATATATCTCATATTTCTTTAGTCAGTATTCTTATGGAAAACCTGATGATTATACATCTTTGTGTTTTTTTTGGTTTCTTTCAGACACTGAGACCGACCCCACCTCACCTCACATCAGCCCGTGCCGAGCACATCCTCGCTGCTGCCTGCGAGAGTGAGAGTGATAACGCCAAGAGGATTAGAATGGAATTGCTGCAACAACAAGGACATGTAGGTCAAAGTTCAGTTTATCTGATTGCCCGTTGCTACAATTTATCTTAAGTGTTGCTTTGTGAAAATAAAACCTAATAACATTTATACAGTAAATGAAATACACTTTTTGTTTTTTCATAAGAACACATTTTATAAGAACACTGAGACTGAAATTGCTTAAAGATTAAGAACAATATAAGAACACATTGAGGCTGAGGTAAAATGTCTAATGAGATTTTTATATTTAAAAACTAAAAAAAAAAATCAAAAAATTATATCTACCTTGTGTGCAGTTGGTATGCAATACCCTCTATAATGCAGGACAGTAGGTGTACAACCTGTCATTTGGGGCTATTTTTACCTGGGCATTTTTTCTGTGGCCATATTTTCAGGAACCATTTTTGCCGGGCCACTTTTTACCTACATTTTAGTACAGTGTATACTGCTGTACAATAATAATTTTTTTATGTTTGAAAAATGTGTAAAATAAGAACAAAATAAGAACATTTTGAGCCTGAAATCAGCCAAAAAATAAGAACACTGAGCCTGAGCAAAATTTTACTGGTTTTTATAAATAAAAAAAATGTGTAGGTGATATGTTAATTTCGTATTTAACCAAACATGTGTCTAGTTTTAATAAGGAATTAAGTTATCATCTACAATAATACAAACCAGATGAATTTATTTGAACATTAACAGAATAATAAATTATTTATCCAGTTTACAGTTAGTGGAATTCTATGGCACCAACCAAGGACAGTTGGTTGTTAGAACTTTAATTATAAATTGGAATGTAATAAGAAATTCTAATAATTTGTTTTGGCCATAGAATTTTCTAGGCCGGAGATACAAGGTTAAAGAAAACTAGCCTTGATAATATCCCATCCTGTTTCCCATTTCCACAAACATGCTCCTAAAAAATACCCATACAAAACAAACCATAGAGAGGGGCTTAAGTTATTTCCTCTGATGGATTTTCATACATTTATAAACATGAGCAATACTATATGTTGAGAGAGTAAATAATTGTGTGATTTTATTTATCCCTCCTAACAGCCGGAAGTACAAGTTGAGCCTCAGCCACCTGCACCTACCACACATATATACGAGGAACCAATGAAACCCTCCCCTAGGCCCCCACCGATGGACTACCGGTACTCGAATGGAGTGTCCCACGAAGCGTATTATCCTACAATGGTACCCGTGTCTCGTCAGTCACCCATCATACAGCATACTCAACATCCCTCTCTTGCCAATGGTAAGATTATCTTATTCTTTATTGTATTATATATAAAGGAGTTTGTTTTAGTTTTTTTTTGCTTATTTATTATTTATCAATTTTGTCATTGTTTTACCTTTTACTGAGCACATAGAGGCCTTGTTTATTGCGCTATATAAATCCATTTGTTGCTGTTATTATTATTATTATTAATATTATTATTATTGTTACTGTTATTATTATTATTATTATTATTATTATTGTTATTATTATTATTATTGGTATTATTATTAGTATCATACAGTATTGGTTGGTATTAGTATACCATCTTCATCTATGTATAAACTAGTAACTATATATTATCATTTATTTTGCAATTGAGCATGAATTTTTTCATACACCAGGGGATGGAAAACATAATTAACTTGTGAAATCAACTAATGCGATTATAAATGAAAGATATTAAAATTGTATTCCCAGGTGCTTGCATCATCATTTTTTTATGAGCCCACATTATTTAGTATACTTTATTAGTGGCTACACAAGCATCTTTCACAACTTAGAAAAATAATAATAAAATGTTACAATAATTAATAATCAATTTTTACGGCAATTCCCATTCATATGTCACTGCATCTCTGCTTTAAGTTCCGCAGATCGATTCGGAAGAAAAATGAAAATTAATTAAAACAAATCTAACTTAAGATTCAGACCGAAAAAACGATGGTGCTAATGTCAATTCATCTACACTGTAGCTGCCAAATTAACTTGCTGTAAATAAGAAATCTGAAATTTGATATTCTGTACCTGCCAATCAACTAAAGCAAAATACTCAATTTGTGTATTGGTTGTGAAATACAAAAACAAAGATATGATATTTTTGATTGTAATATCACTAATGGTCAGTCGACAGAAAAATACTGGTGATTTTTCTATTTATGGGTGTAATGACATAATCATTCCTGTATGTGGGTGTGATGACATCATGTTGCCCATATATGGGTTTGATATGACATCATCATACCCATATATGGATGTGGTATGACAACTTTACAGGTCAACTAGGACTAAAAACAAGTGCAAATAATTTATGTTAATTTGCTTTAAAAAGTATTATTTCTATTTGAAAGCTAATAGCATAAACATTCAAAATATGTAATTAAAATATTAAAGTGTAAAGTGCTATTATTAGCAATTTAGGCAGTATTTTAAAATTTCTGATAGATCAGACCATTATGAATTATGAGTGCCTACAAAATTTATTTCTTGTCGGGGCCAACAGAAACATGATAATATTATGGTTTAGATTTTTATTTTCTCTTGCATTACTCATGGCAAGCAGACCATAGCGTTGTACAAGTTACAGACTTCTGAACTCTTTTATCTTGTGTTGCAAGGCGAACATTAATAATAATAAATTATTGATATTGATGTAATAAAAAAAAAGTCAGGCAGACAGTAGTGGATTACTTAACAAGCTTTCGCCTTTTTTGGACAATGACTTCAAGTTTTTTTTTTTATTTTGTACTGATGATATTCTCATATTACCACATTTGAACGTACAGTTTTCATGTTTTTGACAAAAGTAATGGGTTGGTTATAGGCTTACAAATATGCTATGTAATGCATAATATATTATATGCATATATATATATATATATATATATATATGCATATATATATATATATGCATATATGCTACTGTATTATAGTGTTATTGTTTATATTTTTATTATGGGATTGGTACTTAATAATCTCCAAATTTATATATTTTTTAGGGCCAACAGATCTTAGCATTAAGAAAGCCAAGACGCAACTAAGTCCATCAGAAATCACCAAAATCCGCAACTTGATAACAAGTTACCGTGAGTCAGCTGCGTTTCTGTACAGATCAGCGGAGGAACTCGAGAATTTGCTTCTGCAACAGAACTAGTTAATCACAAGCCTTCGGTGCAAATTTTTTAATAGCATTTTTCACAAAAAAAAAAAACATTTCATACAAGTGTTTTTATCACTGTGGTGTCGCTTCTGTTTTTCTCAAGGAATTACTTAGAAACCTGTATGCTCTATTTGTCGAAAATGTTATGCCGTTCTTCTCTGTTCAGCTCTGGAAGATTTCTCTTACTTTGACGACAGCCTTGGTTTTACCGTGCCACGTCAGTGTGCAACCACGTAACTGGACGTTGTCAACAACTCTTCCAGAAAAACTTGATATTAAACTAAACTAAGAATATCTTGAAAAGCGTATCTAATTTAATGCATATTTAACTTAAGGAATTTTTTTTTCAGTAATATACTAAGTTATTTCTTCAGGTGTTTAATAATAGAAAAGAGTTAAAAACCTCGCAATTTTAATATTATTATGTTGAGTTGAGGATTTCTGTTGTCCATCGTGGTACAGTACAAGATTTGAATAGCATCGGGATGTTTAACTCTAGGCTTTTTAAGTGCAATGGATCGTAGTGGAGGTTTATCCTGACAATACGTGACACAACTCTCACATTATGCTTTATAAGAGTTGCCAAATGATTTGTTCATGTTAAGGGCAATGAACTGTGCTCAGATATTGAGTTACGTTTGGTTAGTTTTGCTAAATACTATAAAACTCAATCTGGGGCAATATCAAAACTGATACTGTAATATATAATTTCGTTCATATACTTTCATGCCTTTGGGTTTTACCATAGAAGAAGTTTGTTTTACCTATAACAAAAAATATGCTTTCTTTTATAAAATTAAGTTGTTCAAAATGAATAAAATAGAAATACACATTATGAACATATACTCTTTTTAAACTAAAGTATGTATTTATATTTTTTGGAGAAAAAAATTTCTTCTTTTGAAGCAGAACCAACATTTTAACTTAAAAATCTAAATTATTTTAAAGATGTAGACAGTTATGCATTAATAACGTCTAATTGTGCTATATATCTGTTTTGTATGTTTTTTTTGTACACAAAATGTCTCTACTACTGAACATTTTTCGGTTTTAGGTCTTTGATTTTACTATGTGCAATACAGTGATATACTGTCCATCGTTACCACAACTGCAGTCTTAACCAGAAGAGCGTTTTGTTGCAGAATCTTGATATTGCTATCGGTGTGCTAATTAGCAAAGCATTTAAACTAATCTAAATTAATGCTTTAGTTCGTTATGAATAATCAAAATCCAATTACTAAAGGTTGTGTGCTTTAGAAAAAAAAACGAGTATGTAGATCGGTCAAATGTTATTAGTTTTAAAACAGGTCATACACAAAGAGAATTACTGAACACAATCATCCATCAAGAAATAAAAATTATGGGTTACAGAAAAACACTCTATACATGAAATATCCATCTACATACGCACAGGAACTAAACATGCATATACCTTAAAACAATCTTGTTTTGTATTTATCAACTCAGTATATAGTAATTTTGAATGAATTAATTGTCTGTTATTTATGTTTTTTCTGAGATTTCTTATCAAACAGTAACTGATATCAAAAATGTACATAAGAAATAGGGACCGACAACTCTAATATTTTAAGTGCAAATTTACAAAACTTACCCGTCACTTCTCTACTAATTTATTTGTTTTCCCTGTCCTCATCCAATTAAAATAAAATAGTTTTATACCAAAAATAAGCGACTTTTAATTGAGTTACTTATATTTATGCTTTAAGCTGTAAACTTTAATATATTTTGGTGTTATTTTTTGAAGTAGAGATAGATTGTCATCTTAGACCAGTAATGTAGTTGTACAGTAAATTTGAAAATAATGTGTTCGTGCTGGTAGTTTTTCCATTATGGGAATAACATTCTATAAATATTTGTCAAGCTAGGCAATCATTATTTCTTGCACATGAAAATAATTTATATCTTTATTTAATCAAATATTTATAAGTTTATCTGTTGCATATTTCATGTCTCTTCTAATTAATTTAAAGAAAAAACATATTTGGGAGATTTACAAAAATAAATCAATAATTTGAAAATACTTCCCATTTATGGAGAATATACAGAAGTATTGTATATTCATGACTTGTACATTCATTGTACTAATTCATTTTTGGTTATTGTGTTCAGAATACAGTATTTGCAAATGCATATTGATGAATATTCATGATTTAATATTGATGAATAATAAATATTCATGACAACATCTACATCTTGTGAATATTCATGGTTTATATATTATGCATTGATGAATAATGAATATTCATGATTTAATAATGAATAATAAATATTCATGAAAATTTATGATTTGTATGCATTGATAAATACATATATTAAAATGTATTGCACATGAAATTGGCAATCCATATGATGGGGATATGAATAAACATAAATAAAATAGTAATGTTTGATGCATTTTGTTGAAAGTTAAATCAGGTTGAAAATGAAGAGAACACACTGTTGTAAATACTTGTAAAGTCACACAATAAGTTTTAGCTTAAGAATTATATTATTACACACAAACCATTTGGTTCATATTTGATAATATGCCATGAATATTACCTGGTCCTACACACACACACACACACACAATATGACTAGAATTTTATATTCATACACAAAAAGGTGAACTTGTCCTTGTTTTGCTTTGCACATTAATTTTATGTAAACAGAAGCAACCATCCTGCTCTAGGTAACGAATAATAAATACTAATTGTTTAAGCTTGGAGTGGTGAAGTGTACAATGTGTTGTGTTGATCCGCAGTATTTAAAAAGCTCACACAACACATAATTGCTTCTAGTGGCAATTTTTGGTCGACCATGGTAATTATAAGCACATATTAATTACTTAGCCAGTTTTTCAGACCTTTTTGTATAAATGCAAAGGCTTTTCTGTTTTTGGTTTGTTGAAAATCTGAAAAAAAAGTGATCTGCTCTATCAAAAAAGCAACATAAAAACTTTGATATTGATTGCATAGTTGATTAATATCGCACATTTTCTAACAAATTTCTGACCATAATAGCAATGAAATACTATAAATGAAATGCTCGAAATTGAGTATTTATGTTCTGTTTGATTGAGCATGTCACTTTGTCAAGGTCAAACCACATCTGTAAAAAAAAGTATAAAATTAATTTTAGTAATTTTTAAATATCAATATTTAGATAATATGATCAGGACCACACCAGTAAGTACTATTAAGCTAATAATTTAATGTTAATTTATTCATAAACAAATTGTAATGTTTGGATAAATATTTTGATTAGAGTAATTATTGAAAAAGCTGATAAACAAAATGTTGTCTCAACTGTTTCATGTAAATGAGATACATTATGTTGAGAGACTTAGTGTTGTTTTATTTTTCTTATTTATTTGAACTGTCTTGATGGTTTCACACTGGAATAAAATTGTCTTGTCTTTAGACACAAAATATATAAAAAAAATGTATTTGAATTTTTTTTATTTGATTTGAAGCTAATTCTAGCACAAAAAACTGGACAGATGTGGCTAGTCTTAAAACGTAAAAGGAGAGACTTTTTTTATAACTGGTTTTTTCTAACTTATTTTTTTAAATATCGTCAGAGGAGGGGGGAAATTTAGCAAAGAGTTTTGCCAAAACAATGCCGACGGAGGAGAAAATCAAAATAAAATGTTATTGGTGAATGTATAAAGTGTACTAACAGAATGGTTAAATGCTTTAAATTTATATAATTAGGCAGCAATATACATATATTTTTGGAGATTTCAAGGCAGTGGCGGGCGGAATAAAATTTTTGAAAAAATAATGTTATTTTCATTCGAAATCATCATCATTGGCGGGGCAGCGGGTTCGTTAAACAAAATATAAAAAAATGTTTGCCTTATTAATAACGTAAACTTAGCGTTGTTGACAATCTGATACATGATAGACTGTACGATGATAGCTACAGCAGAGTCCTATTTTACAGTAGCAGACAAGCAATATGTTTCTTCAGGGGTGGCGCTAGACTGTTTCATGTAAATGAGATACATTATGTTGAGAGACTTAGTGTTGTTTTATTTTTCTTATTTATTTGAACTGTCTTGATGGTTTCACACTGGAATAAAATTGTCTTGTCTTTAGACACAAAATATATAAAAAAAATGTATTTGAATTTTTTTTATTTGATTTGAAGCTAATTCTAGCACAAAAAACTGGACAGATGTGGCTAGTCTTAAAACGTAAAAGGAGAGACTTTTTTTATAACTGGTTTTTTCTAACTTATTTTTTTAAATATCGTCAGTGGAGGGGGGAAATTTAGCAAAGAGTTTTGCCAAAACAATGCCGACGGAGGAGAAAATCAAAATAAAATGTTATTGGTGAATGTATAAAGTGTACTAACAGAATGGTTAAATGCTTTAAATTTATATAATTAGGCAGCAATATACATATATTTTTTGAGATTTCAAGGCAGTGGCGGGCGGAATAAAATTTTTGAAAAAATTTTTTTTTCAGAAATTTTCATTTTTTCGTGGTGGTGGGTGCACTAATTGGCCGAAATTAAAATGTTATTTTCATTCGAAATCATCATCATTGGCGGGGCAGCGGGTTCGTTAAACAAAATATAAAAAAATGTTTGCCTTATTAATAACGTAAACTTAACGTTGTTGACAATAATCTGATACATGATAGACTGTACGATGATAGCTACAGCAGAGTCCTATTTTACAGTAGCAGACAAGCAATATGTTTCTTCAGGGGTGGCGCTAGGACAGTGGTGGCGCCAGGACCTGCCCGATAGAGGGGCTACAGGCCCGATGGGGGGGGGCTAGTGGAGCGAATCGAGTCTCACTTGGGTGGGGGATAGGCATCGAGTTACTATAATATGACATCATGTAGGCTATGCTATGTTGACATCAGCTTCCAAAACCAAAACATTTTGATTGAAACAAGAAACAAAGAGTATGCAATGTAACCATCTAATTAAGTGAAATTCTATATTTTGGAAATTTTGCATGAAATCTGTCAACCACGCTTTCATGGTTGAGGTTGCTTCACCTATCACGATGTAATCCAACCATCATGAGGCTATCTAAATGAGCATTTGTCATAACAGAACGCAAATTATTTTCAATTAGTCTCATTTAATTATTATTATTATTATTAATTATTAATGTTATTGTTGTTTATATGATGAAAATTTAACACAAGCAATACGGTGACTAAACGCGCCAGGATCTACCCGACGGGGGGGGGGGGCGAGGGGTCAGATTTCCCCGACGAAAGCAAAGTGGGCGTGGTCGAGCTTCGATTAAAATGTTTCGAAAGTGGTCCTGAAAATTTTAACAATTTAGGGGTTTCAAAGGCTTATTTAATCGATTTTATAGTCTACTAATATGTAGAAAATACATATAATTTTTTTTTTCTCCCCGATGAATTGTGCTTTTGCTCAATGGACTATTATTTCCTAGCCACAGGAGACAATTACACAATTCATTTATAATTATAATAGGCCTAGCCTAAAAATTTAAGAATATAGAAATTAAATAAGTAGATCATTGTATGCCAGGTGGAGCAGTAAGAATGGAGGAACTGGTTGACTATTACAACTCCCAGTGGTTGAAGCTGGATCTCGGATGCAAGATGAGCAATGTTTAAATGCATATGGAAGAAATCGTCATCATCATCAAAATCATCCTTTCACTTATTTTGCCCGTTTCATAACAAACTTAATATAAGAGATGCATTAAGATGTTACACATAATCATCAATTATTGTCAGCCTTATCATCATCATTATTAACATCATCATCAATTACTGTACCCTCATTATTATCATTATCATTATCATCAATGTAATGATCATCGTCATCACAATTACCACCGCCGTCTTCAACATCATTGTCATCATCATCATCATCAACATCATCATCACAATCATCATCATTGTCACCATAGTCAGCATCACCATTATCAATTTGTTGACCATCTCTATTATCGTCACCATTATCAATCCTTATCAACCTCCTCGCTTCACGGTCCTCTTCATCTTATTCATTCATCACCAATTATTGTCATCAACTTCTACATCATCATCTTGAGTCAGGGAAGTATCCAGGCTTCTTGGCCAGTCTGCATCTTGGGAAGTTATGTTAGATCTGTTGAATGAAGCTCTCTGCACAAATCTCATCGTATTCTGCTGTGCATGACGATGATACCCATTGCCAGCTAAATTCAGGGAGACAGTAATACAGAAGTAAAAACAAGAGATGAGTTTAGTTTCCAGGCGGTTTTAGCATCTTCCTCTTGGTAGTGCATGGGAGTCTCGAGGAGCAGATTTGAAAACATCTTATAGGTTATTATTTCATTCCTGTATCCATTCCCTTTTCAGTTTGTCCAAGAATCCAACAGGGGAAAGTATGTTTATGACCTGGTTTATGATGCAATTTTACTGGAGCATCCAAGGCACCCCTGGATCACTGCTACAGTATATTCTCCTTATGATAGAAGGATAACAGTAATAAAAAAAAAATATTTAAATATAATTCAGCAATATTCATATGGCAGACATTGTGTATGTACCCACTATTGCAGTTTAGGCACTATAGCTCCTTATTGGAATTGATTCATAGTATGATATTAATCATTTTTATCATCATTGCTATTACCTTTATAACTTTTGTCATTATTATTAACTTCAGAATTAACATTAGCATTATAATTATATGTGACAATTTTAATACAATTATATTATATAGTTATATCATTTTATTAATTTTTTTAAATTAAAAGATGTAAAAATGATACTGTTCCTATATTTTTGCATCTAAGACCCATTATGAAAACAGGAAAATAATTTAATTGTTTTGCTTTGTGTCTCTGTATTTTATCATTCTAACTTAGCAAATCAGTGTTTTAAATTGAATATTTTAGAGTTTCCCATATTTACCATCAGACATTTAAAATGATGAAAACGCATGACCTGCATACAAAACTATCCCAAACCTCTTGCAAATATTCTCTAAAGCATATTTCCATAATTTCCCCGTAGACAAACTCTGATTTTATTTTCTGAAATACATAAGAATTTCTCTGATAATTCTGGGAAATATAATTTGATAGTAAAAGCACTCAACTGAGATAACTCCTTTCTTGACCTACAAATAAATAATATTGCATTACTGAATATGAGTAACTGTATGATGAATATATACATAGATCCCCGGAAGCTGTCTTATCAACCTTACACATTTTCTACCTGATTTCTTGACAACAATGTCTGCAACTGTGGACTACATGGTACACATTATATTTATTCATACATGAATATTATATACTGTAACATATTTTGATTCTGTAATTTGCATATACAAATCTGTTTAAATTTATCTTCATTTTTATGTATATATTAGTTATATATGACCGACCCAAATTTTACAAAATTAAGAAGCCATTTTATTTATTTATTTTTTTGACAACGAACAATATTTTTTTATGCGCAAATAAGGCTCGAATAGCCTTGGCGAGGCTAGCAGGACAAGGCTAGCCTGGATGGTATGCGATGCGAATCCAAAATTGTTGTATTATTTGTGTATTTTCTACTTTTTAGGCATAAACACATATTTGGATTTTAAAAAAAAGTTTTCCTACCGACCTACTGTACACATCTTTTAGATTTTCCCAAAACGTGGCCAACACATTTCTTTTCTTTTTTTTTTTTTCTTTTTTTTGGCCTCATTGACAGGATCCGTTGAAAAATTACTACTGGTGTTTACTTTGACAGCCAAGATTTACCATTATGCTACATAAATGTATTTCAATTTATTTTAATTTTTTAAAATGGCATTTATTACACCATATACAAATTATTAACTTGAGCATAGAAATTATTGAATTTTAAAAATGTGTACCTTGATTTTTATATGGGATAATAATAGAAATAATAAAACACTTCCAGTGACTGGAGGTGTTTCTATAAATTTCACCATTAAATTATGGGTAATTTTTCAAATACACTAATTTCTATGTTCAAGTTGATAATCTTATTATTACAGTAGTTCAAAATCAGCAAGTAAATTTCAAAAAATGATGTTTATATTTTTTTAATTAACTTGCTTATTTTGAACTACTGCAATATAAAGCAAATTAATTTAAAAAAATATAAAGATCTTTTTTTAAATGAACTTGCTTACTTTGAACTACTGTAATATATTAATATTACTCTAACGCTTTTGTTGATAATGTGCCATGATTTAATTCAGAGCAAACCAAGGTTCATTAGTATCATATAGAAACCAAATACAATTATTTGAGTTAAGAACAACAAAATTATTGTGTTGTGACCCAAACAAACATGCAGAAATCAAGTGTCTTTTGATTCAAGATTCAAAATATTTTATTGGTATATATCTATATAAAATACACAGAAAATGACATTAAAAAACAAACAAAAATAAAATACACAATACCAGAGTAAAATGGAAGA